CCGTGATGAAATACATTTGGTAGTATTTGTTTTAATAAAAACGGCGGAGAAATTTAGTTTTTAATTTAATCCTTTTTAGCATTTCACGGGATTCAAGAATTTATCAACCGATTTATTGTGATAGGGATGAACTATTTGCTAAAACATTCATTCACATACATTACACAATCAACGCATACGAACATAAATACATAATTAATGATAATAGTGTAAATAATAGATTGGAAAATACATTTAGAGATCGTTGGTTGCTATTGATTTTTGAATTATTTTCTATATATCTTAAACATAACTTAACCGTTTATTAATTGGTAGTACTTGGGTATACTTTTGCGATTTATTATAAATAAATGCTGATGGTACACCTGAACGTACACGATTTTATAAAAGTTTATTATCTTTTAAACAATATTTAAACTCGTTGTTAAGTTATTTCGACTTTAATTCAATTAATAATTCCTAATAAAATGTTCTTAATAAATAAAACTTTAAAAATTCAAAAACATTGGCTATCAATTTTGAAGATTTCTTTTGACAGAAAAGAATGCGTAAAAAGAACTCAACTTATCACTGCAGTAGTCGACAGATCAGGCATTTTTTAATTTAAACTCCAAAAATGTCATTCGATAACAATAGTTTAATTCGTTGTTCATTGTTCCAAAAGTACTCAAAATATTTGACATATTTAAAAAAGATATAAATAGTATGATGACATCACACGTCTGATAAAAGTGGTTTGACTGCAACGTTTACTTACGTATCTAAATTTCTCGTGGATTTTGCAATCGAGATTAATGGTAATGCAAATTATTTTTTTTTAGAACAATTTATATATGATATTTTGAAACGCGGCAGCTAGTTTTTGGTTATTCTTATATAATTTCACAATTCAGGGAGTATCTAAATGTTTATATTATATTATTTTTACCGTGTAAGTGTCGTGCTGAGAATTATGCAAGTCTTCCACCGGTATTGACGATAAATTCTGATTAACATTTAAGAATAATGTATTATATCAGCTTTTGACGAAAACGATATTTTTTATGTTTATTTATTATTGTATCTAACTAAACATATTTGATTCTCATAAAAATTCAATTTGGTTTGAACTACAGTGTTTATTGTTAATACCATTAATGACATTAATGTTCACGTTTTTGTGCTTGTTTTGTTGCCAAAAAATCATTAAGTTTTTTCTTGTACCTGATTAACAAGATATTATCTGATTCTGATTTCAATCAGAATAATATTATTTTGTTTATTGGTTTTTTTCAATTGCATGTAACATTTCCTAATGAATAGTTATTGAAATAAAAACGAAATCGATTTATTTTCTTTGGCTATTAAACAATTTGCATGCATATTAATTAGGGATTTAATGGGGACAACGGCAGATATATGATTCAAGATTCGATGTACTACATTATACTCTTGGCGTTATACCGAAAATTATGTTTTTATATTTCATAATGAATTCAAGTTACCTGTTACATCACGATCAGTGTATGCGTGGTCGAAACGTGTTATTAAATCTAACCTCGTTGATTATTTATATTTTTTCGTACGCCGATCGGACATGGGATTGTATAATGGATAAATATTAAACGTAACACATGTACTATCGAAAGGAAACGTATTAATATGGATATAAAACACGGTTTTTTTTTTTTTATAATAATTATACAATCTATACTTCTTAGCATAATAAGTACAAGTGAAAAGAGACAGAAGACATGGTATGGAAACACGGTTACTTATATTATTTTAGGTCGTGTGATTACAGTGATATGGGCCTAGGCCGTGTAACAAATTTTTGTTTTTCGTAATCGTGGACACAAGCTATTCACCCTTCGGCCTAAAATACTGCGTCCTCTAAACTGCATTTGCATGTAGGATTTCGTGTATGATTTTGGGCGTTACATCCGTCACACGTTCTTTTGGTATGGAAATCTGTTAAGGGTAACAATTTGATTAAAAAGTGTGTCGTCTGAAATCAGAAGTGTTTTAGATTTACCATGATTCACTCACACACGCTGCACTCGTATGTAGACCGGATTGTACAAATCGCCGTCAGTAATCAACAACTTCGTCGCCTACAATGTTATTAATTTTTCAGTTTTAAATAATATGTCATTATTCCCTCGTAAATAATGTATAAAAGCGGTGTATAATTACAGATCGTCGCACGGATTTACACCATTATGCAATGAGCGAAATTAAGTAGCACTTCGTTCCACCTGCAGCATACAGTTGTGGCGAAAGTTTTCTTTTTCCTATTAATAATTAAATATCAAACATTCAATACAGTTAAAAATGATTTACTGGTTGGTATCACTCGATCACGATTCGCGCATCAAATATATGATATTCAAGCCGTTATGCTTTATTTTCCGAAAACTCGAAAGCAATATAATATAAGCCCTAACGGAACGGGGGCTGTTTATTTATCGGGTATCGAGAACGCGGCCCTTCCTGATAAAAAAATAAAACTTAAAATAAAATTTAATTTCGTTGTACTTCTGTAACTTAATCATATAGTTACTTGTGTACAAATAGATTTATAGTTTAGGGCGATCAAAGCTACACGGATTCGATGAATATTATTGCGATTATAGGTATTAATATGAATATTATTTTGATTTATTTCCAACGGCATGTGGGTGACTTAACGATCGTATATTCCAGTTATTAGCATAAGGGTATGAAGGCGATGAGTCCATCGTGTAGTTGAACATTTGGAAGTAGCTTGCAGCACTTTCCTTCGAAGTGAATGATGAATACATCATATCAAATATATAACTGAGCATACGAGTATTTTAAATAATACTACGCAGTAAATGTCGTACTTGATGTTTTGATTTTTACTACAATCGTGTGCGCAGATCGAAAAATGAGGAAAAACAGTACGCTGTTACGTTCATTTTCACCAGAACGTTTATGAAGTTAACTACACAAAGTCAAAACCTATGCTAATCCATTACGAATTAGCTTTTATGATTTGTAAATTAAATCTCTAATTTTGGCGAATTTATTGCGATAAACTCATAAATCTTGTCGTATCACTTGTGTTATTATCGTCGATGAAGTATCATAATGTATGTTAGCTGTCGACAAGAAATAACCATTTGTACATTAATACTTTTTAACTACCCAGCCATTTAAATTAAATTTTTAACGATTTAATAAATAAATGACCTAAGCACAATATGTTCAATTATGACTATAAAATATACTCCCTTTTTAGTAATCATATTACAATAGCGCAGGCAACAAAAACTAAAACAATCTAAAAAAAAAAAAAAATAATTTGCTTACATAAATTTCAAATTAAAATTCAGTCATAAAATTCAATAAGTCCCCATGGATTAAAATATCCTTGGGGGCTATTTGATCCTTTTGGGGAAATTTTGAACTACTCAGAAAATTAATAATTATTTTACAAAACGGAACAATATGTTCCCAAAAAGATTAAATTGTCTCCATCGTGATGTAATAAGTCAAAATGTCCCCAAAACGAATCTAAATATCATCAAAATATTGGCGTTGGTTCCGATTAATCCGTTAACTTGTGGAGCTATATTAAATTAGCCTCTCTCCCCCCCCCCCTAATCGAAAAATCGTAATTGTCCCAAGTGCGGTTGATTTGCATATATAAATAAATGTAAATTGAATTTATAAATAAATATGAATAAATTAGCAATTATTCGCAATGAACATGAAAATTACTGGCATAGGTATTGAGTTAATCCGTCATATTGGCGACAACTTCACGGGCGTGCGGACAACGGGCAACGCGTCGCGTCAAGGGATTATAACACATCGTACCAACACGTCACGTTCGCGTACGCGCATGTACCGCTGCGGTTTTACAAGAGTTTTCTATTACCGTAATATACGTGTGTCGTGCGCGATAACGAATTCGCCGAGGCTGTGAGATTTTTACGCGTGTAAACAAAAACGTACGTAAACAAGTTTATTTCAGCGAGCCTCCCGCGAAGTTCGGCCAGCCATCTTCATTAGAGAAGTCGCACGTGAAAGTTCCCGAGTTCATTATGTCGTTTCGCGTTATGGTCTCGCCACCTTCGTCGTTGACACCGCGAAACTACAACGCGAAACGCTTATTATAATTAAAATACGTTTTACAGTCGACCGCGGATCGTTCGTAGGTACCCGCAGCGTGCTAACGTAAGCACCCCAGTCGTATTTGAATGTTTTTTTTTCCCGTATTAATTTTTTTTTCCCCCCAGAAAAACTTCCGACGGACTCGAAACCGCCGCAAAACTTTTTTACGCATTGAAAGTTCAGATTCGTGACCGTACATGGCGTATAGCGATGTGATTATCGCTGGAGCTCGTAAAACTTTATCTCGCTCTCGAAAATCCATTTTTAGCCTTGGAATTCATCAATGTGCCAAGTGTACGTAGATGAGTTCGTTTAACGAAATACACTGGTACAGTAGAAAAGATTTTTGAGTTTGATTTTTTGTAAACTTCTATTAATTTCTATTATTATTTCAACGATTTAGTGCTTGTAAATTTCGCATAGTTAATGAATTTAAGTCTGAGTCATAAGGAAAGAGAGAAAGAGATTGATATAAAAAAGGAGGGAGGGAGAAAAATGATAAATAATGGTATTTGTTATGAAATAAAATATTTTGTGTATAGGAAAGATGTGTAAACAATAAATTGTATTTTATTAATTGATAGCTTTTGTGATTTTATTATGTCTGTATTTCGTGTTCGATGATATATTATATATGTATTATAATGTATACAAATTAACAGATAATAGAGACACGAGTGAATAAGAAAACAAGAAAACTGGATATTATTTTAGTTTTTTTTTTTTTAGTTTTTACTGGTAATCTACAACACTACAATATAATATTATTTCAATATACTCGTAAATTAAAATAATGTGAAACTACTTATTGAACGCAGTAGAAATTCAAATTCAAGTTGAAATTATTTTATTTATTTTTGTCAAACATTAATTTATAGGTTATACGAAACATATTATTATAATCAGACCAGCTCGCTGTTTCAAAGATTCATTCCAGCCAGTTTGCCAGCTGGTGAAGTAAGCTCGTAAGTAACTCCGTCACAACCTGTAGTATGAAATAATACATTAGGTCCATGGTTCTCAACCGGTGTGTCGTGACATTCTAGTGTGTCACGTATTACTTTGGAGTGTATCGCCAAAATATTATGAATTAAAATTATAAGCTTTCAAAGTATGAACGTATATTATTACGGAATTATGATGAAATAATAAAAGCCGCATATAAAAAAAAATTATAATGATATTCTTATTGATTCTTATTTTTTAGAAATATCATCAAATATAACGTTAAAATATAAATTTTGTATGTCTTAAAATGATTCATTTCGAATTTCTCTGTAAATCCAATACACAGGAATAATAAGAATTAAAAATTTCGTTTTCTTTTCAATATCATAAATATCTGAATCAGCATATTCGATATTGGAAATAACAAAAAGCAAAAAAGATATTGAAAGTAAATTACGCGAAAGTTAGTTAACCGTTTGCCCATGAATCGAAGACCTATGCAAGCCTGCATATTTATGAACTAATACTGTTTTTCATAAAACTTTCTTTGAACTTTTTAAATTTTAATAAGTAAATTAAAACTTTTTTTTAAGTATTAAATTTTTAAATAAAATTTCAAATTTTAATAAAATCTATTAATTGTTTCAAGTATGTTGCCATTTTTATAGATCTAAATTAGGGTGTCGTCATACAAAAAAGATTGAGAACCACTGCATTAGGTGAATATATTTTTGTTCTTATTGCCATTTGGCAAGTGAATACTTTTCGCAACATTTTTGTGAGTAAAATTATTTTCTTAACATATACAATTCATTGAACATGAAAATTGGTTTGCATTTAACAAAAATGCAAATGTCTGAGATTTATTTAATTTTTTTATTACTATAGATGTAAAATTTTCCGTTGATTAGTATGTTTACCCTATCTACGCAGTGGCGTAAATATTGACCTATAGTGGCACGAACGCGAGAAAATAATTTTTACTATTTTACTTTATTTTTTACTTATTTTAAATTAAATATTAGTAACAAACTTTCCAAATCAATTTACCCGTTCACTAAAATAAAGAATGTTGTGATATATTTTTAGTAATAATTTTATTTTAGCTATCATGTATTTGTATACGCATAATATTGGGTATTAGATTATAAAATATTATAAATCCTATTTTAATTATAATATCGGAGTATTATTCTATGACCTTTTTCGGCGGTATGTTTTGGTATTCTTAGATGATATTATATTATATAGGATATAGTTTATACCTGCAGGCTTTATTGTACGATCAGCAGGACCCGAATCGGGTAGTACAGAAAATGTCAAAAGTTCAATTCACTTCACCAAGCTCATGAACAAGATAATATCACGTCTATATTATATCGTAGGCTATTTACGTCTAACAAGCAACAGCAATATTGTTTTCGACGGCAAATAGTGTTGATAAAAATATATGAAATGTTATATTAAAACGTAATTTGACGTTTTTATTTTCCAAGTATTATTAAAGAATTATCATTTATTGTTGTAGTCCAGCGTACGTGTTTATTTTCGTATAAATGTTTAACTGTAAATAATAATAAAATATTATAAAGTTTTAAAGTTGCAGGCGAATAGGTATTTTATATTATTTTCGTCATAGACTAGGATATATTGACGAATGATTAAATTAGGTATATATAATATAGAATGTAAAAAAGAATCCAATTTTTCTAACATTAATATTTAGTGAACAATATAGTTATCATCCCTTTTCTACTAAAACCTACAGCCAAAAACATTTGAGTAATATGTACTACTCGTATGTATATGTTTATGTGTGTACGAGCGCGCGCGCGCGTGTATGGTAGTATGTAAATTATTATAATTTTCATTAAACACACAAATTCACAAATTCACAAATACATATACCCACTCACAATCACATATAGGTAGATAAGTTGATGAGATTTGAGGGACGGGGGAGGGAGTCAAAAAGAAAAAAAATTCTAGAGCCACGTTGTCGAGGTATATTATAACACTTACTTACGGGCGTTTTTTCACAAAGAAATATAATAATAGTAGATATACACATGGACCCTAAAAAATGTATATATATATATATATACGTGCGTGTGTATGTGTACAGTTTGCACTTGGGGGAAAATCGCGAGCGTGCGCTAATGATCATTTACTTTGCACACACTCGCGCGCGCAACACACACGCACGGATAAAGGCACTCGTGATACCCTTATAATTTATTGAATTTAGAGCATAGACGTGTTTACGGCTATGGTCACTTTTGCAAGGGCCAAACCAACAAAATCCAGCTCCGTTTTACATTTATGCTTGAATCATTAAAAATAATTACTAAAAATTAAAACGAATTATTAAATAAAACAGAACTAAATATTAAATATTTTCACATACAATTTTATATATATATATATATGAAATGTCTGTGACATAAACTAACCAATAATATTTATTATCTAATATCCATAGCTATAAGTACCTGTGTAGTTGTATGTTATGTTATAAACATGTTATTTTTTTTTGAAGAAAGTGAGTATATTATTTACTAGCCAAAGCTACTGTAGTAGCTACAATTACTAAACATGTACATTCTCGAGGTAGTGTATTGTGTAGTCACTCTTTGTCTTCGTATCCAGTCCCTATTTTTTAGTGAACCCTGACACAAAGTGTGTAGTCCGAACTGCAAGTGTGCACTACGGAAGTCGAGAAGTGTGTACCTACTAAATACTAATAAATAAGACTACTATGAAGGTGTTTTTCGGGAAGTCAGTTTAAGCAAGATAACTGATGAGGACTTAAATATATCTATTATATTTTAAGTTATATATCGCACATTAAAATAAATTATTTGTTAACAGTTTTCAGATTTATACCAGACAAAAGTATATTTTCAGTTTAAAAAATATTATCAGATTGGTTTTTAGTTTAACTAATTATAACGTACAATTCAATTAAAAAAAAAAAAAAAGAACTATTACTAAAAATTATTACTGAAATTGTACTAAAAATTATAATCACATAGAAGAGAGTAGAGAGGAGTTTTGTATCATATCATTGTATATTAAAAAATGTGTAGCACGAATTTTTATGAAAATTTGGGACTTTTTTTTTTTTTTTTTTTTTTATTTAAAGCCACAACAACTTGAAAATTTGGGACTGTTCGTCTCCTAAACGAAGACTTCAATTTACCTAATAAAAAAATGTATTGGTCATACCTGTGAAAAAATTTTAGACACGTCTATAACTTAGAGGCGTTTACTTCTTATGAGTATTTCAATATGATGTATCGTATCATATAGTTTGAGATCGTTTTGATCAAGATATAGGATGTAGATTATAGCAGGTAAGTTTTTCTTTCAAAATCAAGTTAATTTTATACTACTTCGTTAAAAATATTATCTTTGAATAGGTATTTTTTTTTAATTTTTTTTAATATTTTTATTAGCTATTAGTATTTAACTATGATAGCTCAACATTGTATAGGTATTATTTATACCGTTTAAAATTCTAGATTGAACTAAATTGCAGCGTCGTGAAAAAAAAATGTTCCCTTTAAATTTGAAAACGTTTTCTCTGGCTCGACTCTGCTTTAACGAACGTAAACATAAACGTATATAGAGATGTTAATATAAATCTGTAAAAATCTACTTATTGTACAGTATACTTCATGTGTGGGGATAGGACATTATAATAATCACTGATTAATAATTTATGAAAAGAAAATAATTAGCTACGGAGTTTAGGTGGTATACGTGCAAGAAAAAGAAAATTTTAAAATACTGAATTGATAATGTAATGATATAATGAACAACTGAACATTGGTTTTCGAGTTAACCAAGAAGTGTATATCAGTTGTAAAACCACATAGTGTTTTCTCAGTGTAAACATTTTTTTAAACATTTTTGTTAGTATATAAATATGTAGTATATTTCATGAGGTTAGGAAAGATTGAGAAATCGTTTTCCTTCTATAGTCGGTTTAAAAACAGTATAAAAAAAGTATATTTAATGAGGCTCTAACCATCCACCACGGATCTTACTATAAACATATCGTTTTTTGATCTCTTTGGTTTTTTTTTTTTACAATTTTCTATATAATTGATAAAGATGTCGATTTCTTCATTCTGTCAATCTACAGGTGTCTATTTATATCTTTTCCTGGTATAATAAAAAAAGTTGTATTATATGACTTGGATTTGTATAACCGGATCAATCTTATGCAGTTAAAATAACATATTTTATTACTAAATGGAAGATTCGAAACTACTTATTCTAAATTTATTCTTACTTTTATACGGGTGATTATTTTCTAACTCTTCATTTCTATTTCTAAAGTTTATGGCTTTATGTCGTGAAAATGTTATCAAAAATATTAATGTTTTACTGAAGTATAAATATCAAAAACGTTTAATGCGTATAAATAGTATGTACTATTTCTAAGACATATGTCTCATGTTCGTATTACAATAATTGGATTTCGATAAGTATACACATTTTTTTTTTTCATAATTAACTAAATCATTGTAGTAACTCCAAAATATAACTCTGGAACGATTTTTTAAATTTATTTTTAATCACGAAAGATTTCGGATTTACTATGTGGATATGTAGTGATTTGGCAGACTATACAAAAAATCGTGAGATAATCGTGATGGTACATAGATAATACACAGGTAAACACAACAATAAAATACAATACACGAGTAGGCGGTAAAAAATACGTTTATTAAAGAAATTATGCATTTTGCCTGCGACGCATAATGTGAAAGTATGATGAATATACCGAAGAGTATTTTCATCGACCGTGTAATAAAGTGATCATATAAATATATATATATATATATATATATATACAGCATTACATATTATTTATTATAAAATTAGTAAAAGTTTTTGTCAGTGTACGCCTATCTACTAGTTTCAGAAAGCTGACATAAACCGTGGTAAGTTTAATAATTGCGTTTGCGGCCGTGCAACTTTCGCGGACCCGTGTTTGACCAACAGAGTTTAAAGAAATGCATTCAATAAATACCTAGTGATCGAAGAACAAATTAATCTCCTCTCGGAAAAAATCTCTACGCCGGTAGGCATCGCGTTAAAATATTTCCTATTTCGGTTTACCGTTCCGTTGGGTATGTTCGACAGGACTGTTTACGTATTCGTATGGATATGTTTTTCGCATGACCGTCATCGACCACTATGAATCGCATAACACGATGTTATTACGCAACGTGTAGCAACGTATTTACCGTTTTGATAAACCTAATGACAATAATAATATCATATAATGTCGATCTCGTGACGTACGGTGTAGCGCACGTTAGTACGTATTATCATTTATGATTCGGTCGTCGGACGGACGACCACGTAATAAGTTATAATTATTGTGATTGGTTAGTGATGGTAGTATTCCATTACACCGGTCATAAATCGCGCGTGCATAACGCGGAAAACAGAAATCCGCAACGCGCACGTTTGTCCACGGACAATGGACGGTGTACGGTTCGAATCTTTCTAGCCGTTCTCATTGATCATCGTTATTATTAGGTGTTTTTGCGCAGAATCGCGATGAAACGTTTTTTTTTTTTTTTTTTGAAAATTTGTCCCGAGTAAGAAATGCGATACGTAACGCGATACGGTGGACGTTTAAATCGCGTCGGCCATCAGTTTTTAAACAATTCACCGTTAAACGTTTTTCGAACGAAATTCTAATCATTTTGTAAACGAGAACGCTTTTGACACGCGTATGTTTTACTTTTCGTATGCCCATAGTAATATACAACCGAAAACGATTTTTCAACCGCACGTCACGCTATCGCCGATGCACGGTCGCAGTCGCACGGTCGTTTCGCGTACGTAACACAAAGTTGTCTAGAGTCAAACTAGTTTCCATGTTTAGGTCATCGGTTCCATAACGGGCGCGGTGGACGTTCGTTTCTAATATCGACGCCGTTGCCCGTGCACCAACACCCATCGACGACGCTGCAGTTACCTACTCGCCAACTCATTGTTATGTCATGCCCTAGCCGGTGCGATTTCTAACGATAACAAACGTCCGGGGAAACATGTTCAGGAATTGCCCTGATCAGTGGCATGGCGATGTGGGCAATCGAGAGGCGGCCGTATCTCAGTTTTTCGGGTGTCGGGCGGGTATCGACAAACTGTAATTGCTTCTATAAAATTTTTGAGTTCGCCACGCCACTGGTCCTGATCACCGGTGCACGCGTTTAATCCGCGATAACGCACCGCACTCGCAGTTTTGAAGTACAAAATAGTTTTTCGTTTTCATTTCGATATGCGCTGTCGCTGACGAGAGTAGATGATAAACGGTTTTTTAAATTCATTTGTTATTTGTCAATCATAATTGTGTACACCACTTGCCGTTATCTATCTTTACAAATAACATTTGGAGAACGTCTTCTTAGATTTTTGCACTCGTTTTAAGTAATTCATACTTCTGAAGGGTATTTTCTAGTAAGCCTCGCTGTTCTCTAATTGACGACATTATGGTAAATTGTAATTAACCATTCATAAACAAAAATCTAAACTGATGAAACTGACACGTATAACATTAATGCTTGTCGACAAATCGTAATCGCTTACCGCATATTCGAATGCATCAATTTTGCCATTATTGCGGATACTAGAATTCGGCACTGTGTGGTCAAACATCGCATCGTCTACTCGCATCACGCATACGCATGGGCGTCGCGAGAGGGCGTGCAAGGTGATGCATTTGCATCACCCTGGTATTTCAAAAAAATAAGGATAACATTTAAAAATGTAGGATAGAGGCTATCATTTACGTCGAATTAATTAATCGGAATTCAAATAGTAACCTGTATTGCTCTGTAGCCACCGAAAAAAAAAAAACGAAAATAGTTTTGTATTGTCATACGATTCGAGAAAATATAACTACACATTTAACATAAATAATTCAAGCATTATCTAGACATCGTGGACTATGCACGAAACATCCCCCTTCTGATAGAATTCCTGGCGATGTATTAGTTAAGACATGGCGTTATGTTGAAAGCGTGTGTTTACGTTTACACCTGCCTGGTTCTTGTTCTTCGTCCTGTTCATCAGCTATAGTGTTAACACGACTGTCGTGTCCGGCCAAAGGTTTCGCAACAATATACATTACGATGTGTTTACAGAACGCAATGATCACTGTCGGTAATTATTCGATTCCACCCGAGTATTTAGGAGCGGTTTTAAGAAGGTTTCTAAGGGGGGATTAGCCCTCACCCCTTAAGATTAGGCTAACTATTTTATGCCAAATTCTATAGTATATTGATATATTGATAATTATTATAAAATATCGTCATTGATGAATATGGTATCTATTTTTTATATTTTTTTGTAAATAAATAGCTCATTTTTGTTGTTAATTATAATTGTATACCTATATTTTTAAAATGGTTTAATTAATACCAATAATTTAACTATTTAAAATTTGTCACTATTGTGAAAAAAATGACTTACTTATGAGGGACTCGAAAACATATTCTGTAATCTAAAATTTTATATTGATTTAAAAAACAAAAAACTAAATTCTTGAACCTCCCTTGGTAAGTGATAAAACCCGTCCCTGCGAGCATTATCCCTGTACAGTGTGTACTCTCGCATCCGCAGGTATTCGTTGAACTCGTCGCACAACCACGCGTACCGGCACAACAATGATAGGGTTGCATCCGTTTAACGATCGTTTTTGTTTTGTACACGATGTACGCAATATAACTGCACGCTTTTAGACACCGCGTTGAACGTTTGTGATCCTGTGGCTTGCAACGGTCAAAAACGTTATTAATCGTGTTCGCATTGTAACTCTTTTTGTTACGCACTAATCACTGTACTGTTTACGTCCACAGATCGGATTCAGTATGGCAAAGAGCGAAATCGCCGAATTCTTCCACGGCCGGTCCGTGTTCGTCACGGGCTGCACGGGCCTCATGGGCAAAGTGCTCGTCTGGAAACTGTTGAACAGCTGTCCGGAGATCAAGAACATCTTCGTGTTGATCAGGTCGAAAAGGGGCAAGTCAGCACTGCTGCGGTACCAGGAGATAATTAAAGCGCCGGTAATGATATATATACCCGTACGATTGCCAACCAACTAACACACGATTAACAACACGTATGGATTAAACGAGTGTCCCATACCGTAAATCGTCCGGCGAGATTAATTGTAATAATTGTTCTTATTTTTCTTCTTCTCCTTCGCCTTTGTCCCAACTGTTTAGGGTCGGACGAGATATTTATTAATTCTGTAATTTTCGCAACTCTTTTTTGCCGCAGTTGTTTGACTCGATCAGAAAAACGAACGAATCGCTGTTGTCCAAGCTGCAAGTGGTTTGCGGCGACGTGGGCGCCGACGAGTTGGGTATTTCGCCGGATATGAAGGAGAAAATGATCGCCGAGGTTTCGATTGTCTTCCATGGGGCTGCCACGCTGAACTTGGACGCTTCGCTGTCAGAGGCCATCAATTTGAACACGACCGGAACGCTGCGCATGCTTGAGTTTTGCTCCGCAATGAAGAACCTCGAGGTATCTACTTAGAGTAATTTCAACCGCTCATAACAGTACAGTGAAATTGCCTAATCGACGGACAACCGACAGGATGGGTATCTAAACTGTTAAGGGTTATAAGTTGTATAGAGCTGATCTCGAGAGGGTGAAAGTTTTCTGTCGACATTTCGAGTTTTCAAGTGATATCCGCGCGATGAGGGATTTCACTGTATCGAGTTTGTTTATCGTTATAATTGGCGCGCATGGGCGAAACTGCCGTATTATTTATACAACTTTTTCGTGTACGGTCACGTATTAGTTGATTAAAAGTTACGTTGCATATCTTACGTATTTCCGAAAGCGTTTGGGATAGGGTCAATGTTGTTGTTCCACCAACAGCAATGTACTACGCGTAGACTCGGCAACCGATTTTCAAATCGAATGTTAATTCCACTCATTAAGATGTTATTTCATTATATTATTTTATATTATTATGCGCTTAATTTGAGTTGATTACATTTTTACGTGTAATGTAACTGTTGATTTGATGTACGCGCTACGTTCGTTTTATTCAACCATTTTTACAATGAGGTAAACAAGTGTACGACAAAAAGTAAGTACAACGAATTTAACCTTTTAACGATCCTTGCATTATTGTGTAAGAGGTCGGATACGACTGTGCACTGTTTTTAACGGGTCAAAGGAAAAAAATTAATTGGGAAAAAGTCTGAGTGTAAAAAAAAAAAAAGAAATGCAGTAGTGACAGATTAATATGAAACAGTGAAATACATTAAGAGGACGCTATATCATCATTTGTACACCTGTTATGTTTTTGAAAAAACTGTTTCGAGTGGACTAATTTGAGCTGTCAGCAAACGTAAAAACATCAAAAGAGTAAACATTACGAAAGACCACATACTTTAAATTTGATCCTCATTAATTTTTAATACCAAAAATTAAAAAAAAAAAAAAGAAAAAATGAATAACCGGATTTTGGGTCTTTACCACATTATTATAACAAATATTATTTGTTGCATTAGTTTAACTGACAAAATCAAAGCATATAAACGATATTCACACTCATTATATTTTTAATATTGGTCAGTAATTGGTTGAAATTCCCTATGCGTAAAATCCCTTAAAATCGATCAAGTCAAGTTATTGTAATTAAAAATTATGTAAATGAATTAGCTTATAAAATAAACAAGTTTAATAAATAATGTTAAAATAAGTTTTTGATTATTTTCGATTGCAAATTCTACAATTTTACTCGTATTATTTAAATGGTTTTATTTATTTTTTTGTACGTAGGTATACGGTTAAGTTTTCTATCTTAATTACATTTGTATGTTATTCCTTCAAATAACGCTATAGTGATATTAATGTATGAACATAAATTATTCAAATTTGTTAATATTCTTAACGCCACTCGAATAATACTTATCCTACTGAAACATAAAATAGAATAATGAGTTTTTTACACACAGCATTTTTAAAACAAATCTATCGGCGTGAATCAACTAATATATCTGGAGATTAGTTTGAAGTATGCTTTTTATAGCTATTGTGTTATTTAAATTGTATTTATTTAATTTGATTGGAATATCGCAAGAAAAACTGATTAAAAATATTTTAATATATTTTTCATGTGATATTTTTAAATCTGTCACGATGGAACCACTATTAGTTGTCGATTTCCGGAATAACAAAAAAAAAAGAAAGACCATTCAATTTAAATAAACTGTTAAATTAAACTGTTCGTCCATCGACCAGATTTGATGCCACGGTATTTATTATGTGGTCAGCAAAAGAAGTTGATTTCAATTTTGCTTCAAATGTTTCCTACAGAACGATTTAATTTATCGGATTTTATAAATATTTCACTGCGGCGCTTTGTGTTTGTAGTATACGCAAAACTAAGTGCATACATATTGTAAAAACTGTTTATTGTAATCACGTATCGTTTAAGCTGCATTGAAGACGTTGAACATTTTAGCGCCGCAGACAGGAATAAATTCTGAGACGAACATTGAATAATAAATATATTATCAATAATATACATTGTCGTAAGACTACCCTGCGGCCTGCCGTTAGTATTATGTGAACTCTATGACGGCGAATCGACGACGGCATTGTCCTGGATCATATACGCGCTAACCGCAAACAAACTTCAGGATGTCTACAAAATATTATATTGTTGTATTATTATTGAAATTGTCATCGTTGATTGATCGCCTCGAATATTTCAGGCTTTCATACATTTTTCCACGGCTTTCTGTCACGTAGACTTGGAAACGCTGAACGAGGAGGTGCATAAATCGACTTTCGACGCGCACAATATAATGAAGTTGCAGTCCTGGCTCAACGAGACCTCAATCAAGAAGGTCACAGCTCAGTAAGTGCAAAAAAATTCAAATAAAATATTTAATCTATTTTGTATACAACATTGGCTCGAATGTTGTCGGCCAATCTATTTAAAAAAAAAATATTCACTAATCCAGCGGTTCCCAAACTGGGAGACAACCAAATATTTATATCGTATATTGAACTAGCATTTATTTATTTTAAAGGTCGGCGATAATTTGTTTATATTTAAATAATAAATAATGTTTTATTGGGAGGCACGATTAATTTAATTTTTGTCGTATATTTTTAGAAAAGCTCTGTATGCATACTCTATTATGACATTGATTGGTCATCTGATTGATAATCGAGGTTGTCGAGATTGTCGATTCCTCAACTCCTATGTGTGCTAAAAAACCGCTAAACTAAATAGCAATTTATTTTGCTTTACTCTCGTGGAAAAATAATAATCATTGATGTTATTTTCCAAGTTTTTTGTGAGTTTTATAAATAAAACACTGCGCAAAATGATTTATTATCTCCGGAGGAGGTGTTCATTTGACGCCTTAAACTCACGGGCCTATATTTGTGCCACATTTATATCTAAATCTAGTGATTACGCAATTTGAGTTGTGTACACGAAGTATATATACTACCTACGGTGTACATTTTAAGTGATTTATATTGAACTTTGGTCAACTTCACCCCTCCAGGCTCATGTCCTTTATCAGTCTTATCTTTAGTCCCGTTATCGCGTATAACATACAAATAATGTCGTTGTGCATTTGACGTTTAGTTGTCATTCAGGGGACCTATCAATGCCGCCAATGTAGCATCGATTCCGCCAGTATCGACTCTGCTAATACAGGTAGTCTAAAAACAATTTATCGGTTCCGTCAGCTATCGATTATTACCTCAACATACTGCTGTCAGCTGTTAACCCTTTTTGTTCTTAATAAAAAATATATTTACACATGATTTAAATAACTAATGTTTTTAGAAATAATAACTCTTTGCTGTATGATATTTACTTCCTTATTTAATAATTGACTATAAAACTATAGTAATTATTATATAAATCGATATATCTCATAAAGAGTTAATGTTTTTTATTTTTGACATTAGCGGTTACAAGTCAACATTTCAGATATTTCTCTAAAAACTGTATAAAACGATATTTTATAAAGCTATGTAAGTAAAATCCAACTACTGAAATTATTAATCAAGATTATTTTTTCCTTGGTTCGGTGATGGAATCGATAGCATGTTTTTAAACTATATATTTATTTAGTACTGATGGAATCGATGATGTATCCCTTAACATAAACAGTTATGGCGGAATCAACGACACCCCCGTCATTTAGATGATTAGATTATAATGTACTGTTATGGTTATAGCTTGATAAATCCGCATCCGAACACTTACACTTTTTCCAAACGACTGGCTGAGGACGTGGTCAGTGAATTCTACCCCAAGCTGCCGGTGGTCATTGCCAGACCTTCCATAGGTGGGTACCTATACGCCGCACTTTTAGTGACCCCAGAATCCCCAGATCGACTTGTTATTAAATTTGTTCTTTTTTCCCTTCGTCCGCAGTGACTCCGGCGCTCAAGGAACCACTGCCCGGCTGGGTAGACAATCTAAATGGGCCTATAGGAATATTGGCCGCAGGCGGAAAGGGCGTACTTCGGTCCATATTGTGCAACCCGAAGTACAACGCAGAAGCAGTGCCGGTGGACTTTGCGATAAACGCCGTGATCGCGATCGCATGGAAAACGGCAACGACCAAACAAAAGCAAGTATACATGTATAAAGGTATGTTCATATTCGCGAACGCGAACGAAAAGTGTAAACGGCACGTCGAATCGTACCGAACATATAAGTGTAAACGGCTCCGCCGAGTAAGATCGAGGAACATGCCTATTCAATGCGAACGGTGTTTAACCGTAATTGCCATCCAGTTGTATTCGTAATCAAAACGGTTTTTTTTTTCAAATAATGAGTGTGCCGATTTTTGTTTTTAATAATTTGGCATATTACGCTAGAGTTAATAAATATGGGACTGGACAAACTAAGAGTGTCTCTGGCTTATTAATTTATACCAGAAATCTAAGATTCAATGCTTTCATTAGCCGGTAGCGCAAGTCTAAATTATGTTTTTTTTTATTTTCGGTTCAACGAGAGTATGTAACTGATGAAATATTTCGACAGACATTCTGCAGCAATTTCTTGAATGATCGTCATCACATTTTCCCAGGTAGTTTAATAGCATCCAATATCACTACACAAACCTGTGCTTCGATATCATACATCGGTGACGTATTTTTTCGTTTAATTTTATTTTTCTTTTGGTTATTTTATCACGTGAACAAACCAACAGTAAATCGTCATCATCACTCGATGACATTTTATACGAAAACGTATAGAATTATTTTAAAATCAAATGAATAAAACTGAACAACACTATCGTATATCTACCCAGCAGTCTGATCGACACTATACAATTTTTACATCTGTATTCGGGGACCAGGGTTGTTGGGAGCGAACAATGTGAACGGTTCGACCGGACGGTCGGCGAATTCGCATTTGAATTCGTTCGGAAGCAAATATTCATGTCCGTTCGCGTTCGCACCGTAATGAAAACGCACCTTAATGTGCGCGGTGTACGAATAACTAAAGGTTTTTCACCATTCCGGTCGAGGATACGATAGTAATAGTAACGATTAAACGGGTGATATTGCCGCGAATATTTTTTTTCCCCCCGATCGGTTGCGCTATAACACACCGGGTTGGATAGTAGTAGAAGTATTGATCGCAACTGCAGCGGACTGGAGGCTATTGCGGTTTCCACCGTTGTCACCGCGGGTTCGGACATTGTAACCGACCGAGAAGTAATCGTAGCTAACTACATATTTTCGTCGTACACAATAATAGTAATAATAATAATAATAATATAATTATTATTGTGGTCGTTGTACTAAGTCTGGGCGTGTACCTTAATTCTGCGGACGATAGTTTGAAATTAAATCGGGTTCTCAATCGGATTATACTGCGAAACCGAATCGACCCGCGGTTTGCATAAGTAATGATAACGAAGTATGCGCGTACACGCGTGATGATCGGGGGGCGGTGAACGTTTTCGAAAACCGTTTCAAACCGTTTGTGTTCGTGATCGGAAAGAATATCTGAGTACACAAAAAATATTAATCGTTTGTTTCGGTGATCGTGAACGAGGAAAAAATCAATGAACTCGGTCGTGGAAAATTGATTGATCATCGGTTATGCGCATTTTTGCGTAAAAAGTTTTTCGTTCCTCTACGTTGACACTGTACAACAACATTGATTGGACGATTGGATTTCAAAATGATTACAAATTGTAAAATACACGCTTAGTACGGGATCAGGCTAGCGTTCTTTCGGCAGCCGATAAAACGTAACCGATTGGCAATCAGAACGCAACATTTAAAATTGTTTATCGGTTTGTAGTTTGGAGGCGCCGATACGTTTCCAACGTACCCGAAATTAAATTCGTTTGTATAAAACCGATTACACTGAAATTTTTTGGTCGCCGACTCGTCGTACGTTTGTTTTTAGTTTAGTTTTTTATTTCAAAGTTGAAAATTCAAAACCAACATATAAGTAAGAATGTACTTTTATCGAAAAACTTATAACAGAAGTTCAGCACTGTCCACGTACACGGGATATAGGTTCAAATGAATATATAAATAAGTATTTGAAACATTAATGTAGGTTGAAAGTAACTGAAGCTGTAAATCTTCCTGCTTGAGATAATCTTTGAGTTGCTTAAAAATAAAAAAAAGGACCGATCTAGGCTGAAATACTTATAGTAATGTTAGTTGATTTGATTTTCTTGATTAAATTAGATACGTTTCGTTTAAATCAACCAACATTTTACTATTCATAAAATATATTTCAAATTAAAAAGTATTCGCGCGCTTTTTAATCAAATTTATTTTGATGTTCAGTTTTCGCCGATCGATAAAACGCCTAATACGAACCGTCGTTTTCGGTCGTCGTTTTGTCGGCTGCATTTTATCGGTCGCCAAAAAAACGCTAGTGGACACGACACATATAGTCAAACTACGGTCGAAATCAATAAACGGTTGGTATGGGTCATCGTAATATTATTTTAAATTTTTTTTCCGTTTAGTACCAGTGGTATTCCAGTTTACAATTTGACGCAGCATAACCTGAACCCGATCACTTGGCACACGGTTATGACCAAAGGCAGGGAGGGGACCATGGAAAATCCTTTCGAACTCATGCTGTGGTATCCGACCGGAGGGATCACGTCCAACCGATTTCTTCATACTTACAAAGTAATCTGTTACCACTGGATACCGGCCTATCTCATTGACGGAATCATGTTATTACTTGGACAGAAGCGCTTGTGAGTAATCGTTCGGTTTGAAATAAAAATAAACGAACATTTGAAAACAGGCATATTTAAAGTGTTTATTGACACGTCTAGACTAATAGAAAAATAATTTTTCATTGTATTATATTATACAACCACATACATTTTAAATGCGTTAGGAATTTTCGGGATAGCTACAAAAAAAAGTCAAATTATTTTTTCCTGTAAAATATTTTTTTGGTGTCTTTTAAAATAACTTGTACTTCTATCACTTCGATATAGGCGAATTGATACTAATACTGAAAGCCTACTTGAGATTTTATTGATAGTTTGCTCATATCAGTTAATCATCGTTAATATTTTACTCTACTCGAATGCATTTCAAAAATCATTACTCATAAATTCTATATTACGGGCACTTAAAGTTTAGGAAAATATTCTTTAAACTTTGTATATAGACTGAGATACACACTCAAATTCGTTCATGGCATAGTCTTTGAGTTTACATTGCAATTGATTAATATTTTATATCAGAAAGTTACTATTTATGCATGAATAATATTAAATAATTTTACTTAGAGTTGCTTTGATTGTGAAACGTGTAATTTTACGACTAAAATTTATAAAACGGTTCGATTGGACAAAAATAAAAAACAACAATATAACATTATACAGCGAAACCTGTTCCGAAAAATTCCTTGGCGTTCCGAATAGTTTTTATATGATAATTTTATCGAGGAACGATTTTGAAGTCCATTACGGTACCCAAGGAATATGTTAGAACGAAATATTTCTATTACGGTTTGTATTGCGATACCATCTTGGACAGTTTTCGCTGTATTGTGTTCTCGTCATAGCTCTCCACACATAATGCGTTCACAATGTGTACTGTTTACATTACTTTAGCATGTTGAGAGTCCAGCAAAAGATATCGGACGGTCTCCGCGTGCTTCAATACTTCACCATGCGCAAGTGGGACTTCCCAAACGATCGGCTGCTAGCGTTGCGCGAGAGCATGAACGACGTGGACCGCCGGGAGTTCAACATGGACTTCGAGAAAATGGATATGAACGATTATTTTAGAAAGTGCATTTTGGGAGCCCGCCAGTACTGCCTTCGTGAAGATCCAGCCACCATACCCAAGGCCAGAAAGACATTGAAAGTGTAAGTGTAAAACATATCGCGAAAGCGCGGAATATGGTTGCTTTGTACCGATTTTCTCCAGGCCAACCACTGGACTGTAACGAAATCTCGATCTTTATTGCAGGCCGCTATTTCATCGCGTGATCTGTGTTTCAACATGAAACTGTTTTATCTTTCGTCCTTGTTCGATATTGTTATCGGATTTCCAAAAATAGATTCTTCGAACATTTTCTTCTTCACTATTTATTCCTTAGTCTTCATCTCGGTTTGACATACATCTTTTAATCCAACGTATTTTATCCAGTTATTTTTTCTTATCCGATATAAACAACACTTTCGTTCCTGATATCGTATTTCCTCTCGTCGCATTGTTTTCTTAAAATTGACTTTTGAAAGCATTTTATGCTATTATAGGAAGTTATACACTTAGAGATTTAATACTTCTCGTTGATTTTATTAAGAGTACTTTTATTTATTTTTTTTTTTTTTGTGCACGGGCAATGCTAGGTATTATATGAAAAAAAAAAAACTCTTGAAATATTACAATAATCATTAAACTAACCAACATGACTCGGACCAATAACGATAGACAAAGACGATGATAACAATGAACCGATTTCGTTTTCAGATTGTACGTGTTGGATTTGGTGGTGATCTATCTAAAGTACGCCCTCGTCGCCTGGTTTTTGTACAAGGTGTACCAGGTGGTCTCCACGGCTTTTTGAGAACGCACGTAAATTTGCATCCGCTAAACGACATATATAAACCGTTACAAAATCTAAATAGTATACACACGTGTATTGCCTAACCGTATTCCGCCATCGAATCCCAAATATTGTTATTATTATGTATTATTATTATTATTACAATTTTTTTATTGTTATATGATCATTTACCTGTTTACTACTCTGCTAGTTAATAGGAAGGGGTGTGAAAGGTTCAGTAAGTTATTGGCAGCCGCGAGCACGAACCTGACGCACCACACATTTTATCCACGTATTATTATTATTATTATTATTATTACTTTGTTTTTAATGTTGTTGTTGTAATTATAATTATTCAAAACGACAGCCTTTTTTTAGTTTTTGCTTTCTGTTCTATACGTACACACGTTTATATATATTTTTCTTTTTGTTGCTTTTCGCGTTATTGTTGTGTCGCGTCGTTAAGAGTGCTCCGAGATTTCTGTCGTGCGCACGTCCTCGGGGACCGTATTCCGACCGGTCGTTCGTTCAACAACCGTAGCACCTCCGGCACGTTCTCCAACTGCCACATCCTTTTAATTTCCAACCCTCACGTGATACTCCCACAGAAATACGTTGTCGATCGTTTCGCCACGATTCGCGCGCATTGCTGTGAACGCCTTCCGTTTCTTTATCCTGCATCCGTACAATAATAATACCGTTTCCAATTCCCGTGCGATCTTTTTCCGTTTCGGTTGCGCCAAAAACCGCTATCGTATCCGCGACGTTGTAGATTTTCAGCAGACGTTGTCCGTCGATGGCAGTGATAATAATAATCGCACTTGAGATGATGATTTATTTTTCCCGGTTCGCTCGTTAATAACGGTCACCACCCTTTACGTACCTCTGCCGTGAAAACCGTAAGTTCCGTTCTCCCGCGCCACGGCTATTCGATTCACCTTCCACCCTCCAGGGCTGGGAAACGACAAAAGCCTGTTTAGACTTTGTAACCGTAGTGCACGTTCCGCACGGCCTGGTCGCGTTACGGGAAAACGCGCCTCTTAGAAGTATTTAAACGTATTGTTCGCGCTGGAGGAAGGAGACATCTCAAGTGCCTTTTGTACAGCGTGTTGTACAACGGAGCTGCATCTTTTGTTCGTCCGACCACTCGCTCGTCCCGGGCGGGCACTTACAACTCCGCGGCGGCGACAAATACGGTGGAAGGAGAAAATCCCCTACCGAAAAGTGAAAAAAAAATAAATAAAAAAACGCCTCCCTTCGCCCGGACTCGTAAACGGATCAATAAGACGAAAAACAAAGAATCACGTCGGATTTTCGCATAATAAATCCGATTCCGTATACACACGCACATCCACGCACTGCATCGAGTCACGGGCGTTCTTACGTGATGGATCGCGCCGCGGCAAAGCCGTCGAGGTTTAACTCGCGAATCCGTCTTTCGTCGGCCACGCGTAACGTACCTACCCGCGCGCACGGCCGTTGTATACCTGTACATCTTGTTTCGTTTTATTCATTTTTATTTCTTAAATCAACTCACGTCTGTCGGCTTAAAGAAGAACGATGGCAGTCAATTACGGTCAAACACTCCACGCGTGGTCATACGGCAGCCCATATTTTACCGAAGACCGTTTTATTTTTCACAGGTCCTCCAGTCGATCGTATTACTTGTACGGACATACCGCACAGCACCACGCGCGAAATGTAATGATGACGAACGCGAGACGTGCCCGTGCACCATCACCTCGGTTCATACGTGTTTTCACAGCGTCTAGGCGCGATCTGTTATTCCGCGGAAATCGTTGCCCCGATCGCGCAGAGCAGGGGTCGGCAACCTTTTGAACCACGCGGGCCATATTTTTTTTTTCAAATGTTTATCAAGGGCCACATTGAAAAAAAATTTTTACATATGATATATACTAATAATTATATTGCTGTTATATTTGATTATTTTACATAGATATATGAGTGTAAAAAATATGAATGTTACTGGAAAAAGTTGCTTCTAAGAAAAAATTTAATTTTTTGACAAATTAAACATAATGGCTTACCTTTGTTTTCGACGAAAAAGTATAAATCAACCCAAAAATTATTAAAAAAACGATGATCATAACAAATTTTTCTTTTTTAGTCACCTTAATGTTTGGATTTACTTGTAAAATGAAACTATTACAAACGCAAACAGTCACACGTACGGGCGTAATCACGGTGTAATACTAATTGCTACAAACGCAAAGTAACCATGCCCATAGATTAAATATATTAGATACATATATAAAATACATAGATTAAATATATTTAAAATTTTAATTTTTAAATATATATATACGTATATTTAATTTATCCTATGACTAATTAGTGCAGCCATCATTAATTTTGACTCCGATTAGATAATAATAACAATTTTACAGATTTAACAGACTATATAACTGTATAGAATAAACATTAGCTATTAACGATTAGATTAGATTTTATTTATAAAGAAAAAAGAATTGAATGTTATTGAAAATTGTATGTACAATTTTATTGAACAAAAATAAAACACAAAAATTAACCACCTTTGTGTGGCCATAAAAAATTGCTTCGCGGGCCACATGAGGCCCGCGGGCCACGAGTTGCCGACCCCTGGCGTAGAGCACTACGGTGCAATCATGCCAAAAAACTATACCAAAGTCCGTTATTATATTTCGCCATGATCTGAAGTTAGAAACCACGGGCCCGTTAAATATTTTCGCTCGATGCGCGCGAAGACTAAACAAGTATCCCTATATTTACCGAGTTACATAAGAATGCATGTATTTTAATTAGGATTTGAAAACACTATTGTTCGTTGTAACGTCTAAAAAATGTATAAAAAATTCAAGATCATATAACGATACAGTTGCTTTATTTGTTAAAATGTTTTATGTACCGGTACGATTTGTATAGTATAATGTTGTCGAAAATAAATACATGTAAACCATATGTCATTAGAGATTAATGCGTTGTTGTTAATTGATTATATTATCAGAATCCAATTTTGAGTAAAACGGAACAATCGCTGTATACGTTTTACATTTTTTCATAAGTAAATTTATATAATACCAGCCAATATAGTGATCGATAAACGCATTTCCGACGGTGAAATAATTACGTCCGTTTTGGTCGCACTACTCCGTCACAGTTATGTACCTATGCGTAAGTATTCTGGACGTAAAAAAAAAAAAATCAATTAAATGTAGTACAACATTACAATGTATTGGAATATCACACTAAAAGGTTTTTTTTTTTAATATAGTGTTTGGTAAAAAAAAAAATGTATTGCATCCTATAAACATAAATGTGGGAATAGCGAAATGTATTGTTAAACGAGCCGAACGTATTTTCGTTACTATATTATTTCTTTTTCGATGACAAAAGTTATGATAGCAAACAACACGACCGGTGATGGGAAAGAGGGGGGAAAACATTGTTTCCGAAGGACGGTAGGGCCACGATGGGAATGCGGAGGAGATTCATCGCCATCGCAGTCATGAGGTTCTACACGCACGTTGAAGCAAGGAACAACGTGAATAGGTACTGAACACGTCGGCGTCGCGCTCGATCCTTCATCCTGGTGCCTTTGCATCGATTGGACTCACGCCATCACAACGGGACGAGGTCACACTCTTCTCGCTATCTACACCATAACATCAATGCCGTCTTGAGACATGGGCCCGAAGGGCTCAGACCGGGAGCCCTGAAGGCCACCGAATGTACTTAATTTATATATGATTTACGAAATATCATAGTTTACACTTTTTTTCTTTTCATTTTTTTTTTTTATAAAAAAAAATAATAATAATAATAAATTAGCTTTTTACGTTTATAAAAATAATGCAGTTTTATCGACGAAAAGAAAAACTGAAGTTTTCGTCCGCATATGAAATGAGTGCATGGAGTTTAAATAAATTGGGACGGATTTTGAATGTAAAAATATTGAATAAATAAACTGGTCAACGAGTCGGAATAAAAGAAAGGTGTACATTTGCTGTTAGTGTTCCACGCGGATCACATATTTGTCGGGGTCCACGTAGCAGAATACGAAATGGAAGCAGTAAGTTATTTTCAATGTGTACAAAAATTGTACAATTTATGTATTTGAAATCCCCCGACGTATATATTAGGCCCTAGGGCCTCGTATACCCTAAACACGGGTCTGCATATCATCGTGTTTCACGCGTACGTGTCATCCGTGTACTGCGGACAGGGAGTGACGGGGTTATATTGATCAACGGACTGGCCGGAAACCGTAAAATCCTCGTACTAGTATCACATCAACACAACATCAACCTAACGACTCTGTGTTAACCTACGCTACTGTTAGCCCTGCAGCTATTGCCACGTCGTGATAATACGTATGTGCGCAACACTGATCATCACTCGGGTCCTCTACCCTTCGTCTCGTCCATACAAACAGTTATGCTAACCGAACGACCCAGCGGCCTCCATCGAAACATATTTTTTCCGTTTCTGATTAGAAAATATTGTTGAAAAAAAAATAATAAACGCGTTGGCGTCGTATATTCTTATGATTTTCACTTTTAGCCTATGCATTGTTTGTACATAAACCACATATACCGTAATCGGTTAACCAAAAAGTGAATGAAAATGTGTAAATCCCGAAATCCGATATTGTTATGTCCCTTAAAATCGTACATCTGTTCGTATATCTGTATGCAATAATAATAAAAGTAAATGCCATAAAAATGTTAAAATGGTACTCTGATGGATGTATGCAAATCAGTCGGTCAGTCGGACGTATTGTAGTTCCGCATGCATAAAAACATCTTGTAAAACCGGAATTCCGCATGCACCGTATGTCCAGCATGTTCTTAATATCGAAGGAATCGGAACTACGCATTTTAAAAGAATATTTTAAGCAGCTAAAGTTCGCATGAGATCAAATTGATGCAAAATGATTAGGTACTGATAACCTAAAATTATAAGTCTTGGAAAATAATATATTAAAACCTACCGGAGTTTAAATGTTTACACGACGAATTAATTTGTCAACATTTTGTAGCGCGGCTACTAATATTATTGTGCGTTTGTTATTTTTAAATTTAATGTACTTAATTAAGTAATGGCAATATATGTAAGTGTTATAAATGGCCAATTAAAAATTGTGATTTAAGTAAAAAATAATAATATATATTCTAAGTATATAGAATTAAAAACCAGAGATATTGGATTTATGTGTATGCATCGAGAAAACGTGTAAAATAAAATTATATACAATTGGCATTGATTACATTTTTCACAAGAGTCAGGTTCACGTGAAAATTTCGACGGTTAAATTATTATTCGGAAAACTATTAGTAATGGAACAAATGAAAGAGTAAAATTAC